TATATAAATATTTTATTATATAAATTTAAATTAATATATAAAATATTTTAATAATTATTCATTAATTTAAATTTATAAAATGAAATATAATATAATTTTTAAACATTTATAAATTTAATTTATATATTAAAAATTTGTATTTAAATGGTTGTATTATTAAAATTTATATATAAATGAATTATTAAATTTACTAAATCTATCAAAATTTATTCAATATATATACAAATGATGTAATTAATTGAAATCAGATAAGTTTGAGTTAGTTGTATAAAATGTTTCTCAATTAATCTGATGCAATTTAACTTAATCAAATTTGGATTGGATTCAATAAGGCTATTGGGTTACAAATAGCATAATTTTTAATTTATATACATATTTTCTATTCATTAATTATATTACAATTACCAGTAATCCTCTACCTTAAGTGTTAACCAATCAAAATTGTTTTTCTTTAATCATGAATCATGATGTATATTGATCGAGTATTTTTGACTATGTGGAAAATTAATTTTTCTTAAAAATTTAAATGTAATTTTTTAAATAATTGTTATAAAAATTAACATTTTCCAATATGATTCATAATAATTAAGTAAAAGGAAATAGTTTTTTTTATAGTATTAATTACTTCAAGTTCTTTTTATATATAGTATTAATTAGTACATTTTCAATTGAATTCCACCAGTAATAGATAAAGTTGTTTGTTTCAGAAGATATTATCTTTCTAACACGAATCAAAATTAGAAAGACATATATAGTTTGGATTGGACAACAGAACAGAGAAGCCATATTTCATTTCTGCACATTTCATCACCTTCTTTGTCTGAATCGAACACATTTGAATATGTCTGACAATGAAGATCATGAAGACTTCACATATATCAAATCCTCTACAAAGACCAAGCATAGGTTAAGGGATAGGTCCAAGGTATGTTGCCTTCAATCCATATTCATTTTTTAGGTATAAAACTTAGATTAGATGCATGTTTTTGGTGTTCTTGAATTGGATTTTTGAAATTTTACTTTGGTAGTCGATGTAATAAAGTGATCGACTTCTATTCTAAATTTAAAAGCATGCACAAAAGTTGTATTTGATTGACGTAATAATTTTTTTTTTCTTTTCAATTTGATTTCCATGCATGGCTGAATCTGTTTTATGATTTTATGATATGGGTTTGTTTTTGTTTTGGCTAAAATGAAGGAGGTACTGTCCAAACAAGCCGTTAAGATAGCCAAACAAGCTGAAGAGCATGAAAGGTTCATCAACAAGGTGTGTCTATTCTGCTTTCTGATTCATGTTTTTTTTAGTTATGTGTTCATTTTTTATGTTAATATGGAACAAGCTTCGAGTTTCATTTTTTTTTTCTTTCTATAACAGGTGACTCATCTTTTGGGGGTTCTTGGCTTTGGTGGGTTTTTCTTCCTCTTAGGGGCAAGTAAGTTGATTCAGACTGATACAAAACATTGGTTTTTCTGTTTTCTTTTCTCTTTTGTGGCAGATTCGTTGCCGTCTTTACTGTTTTTCATTTTTTTATTACCTACTTTTACCAGGGCCACAAGACATCCCCTTAGTATATTGTGTGTTCTACGTGGTCTTTGTTCCTCTCCGTTGGATATATTATAGGTTCAAGAAATGGCATTACTATCTCCTGGTAAATATGATATCTCAAATTCTGTTTATTAAGTTTATAAGTAAACATTCACTTTGATTCCCGAATTTAAAAGACACTTTTATGTTAGTCCATGAAACTAAAAAACCTTAAAACTAGTTTTTAGAATATTAAAATATTAAGTAAGTCCTTGAATTTAACCAATTACTGTAATACATTTTTTTATTTTTAAGTTTTGGACTAATGTGATTATTGACTTGAACTTTTAGGGCCTAATTTTACAATTTCTTAGTTTTTGGAACTAGTATGCCAACACCTTACATATTCAGGGATCATAGTGGATGTGTACTTGTAAGTTATTGTGCATCTATGTAACCATTACGTGCTTTTGGAATCATATACAAGTTTTTAACGAGTACAGGTTTCATTGGCAGTTTGCTTTATTTTAGTCTTTTTGTAGCGTCCATAGGCTTTTTTTGAGAAGGGATCACAATTCACAAGCAATAATGTGTAACTGTCAAATTCAGAGATGTGGTTAAACTGTTCTGTTAAAGAGTGCATTCTGTTAGTTGATGGTGTATGAGGCTCGTGGCTACATAATCATATGAAGATAGCTTTGTGAATTTAATCATTGTTTCAATTCCCTTGCTAATTAAAATCGTTACGAGTAGTGTCTCAATGCTGTTATTATCATAAGGATGTAGTCATTAATTTTATGTGTTGCTTCAGTAGAAACATATAATGAAAACAAGGTAGTTAAGTGATTGTTCATCATTTCAGGATTTTTGCTATTATGCCAATACAATCTTCTTGGTTTACCTTCTTTTTTATCCAAGGAATGAAAAGCTTTTCCTGGTTTGCTTTTCCTTTGCTGAGGTAAGCATGTTACCCTAGATAATTTGATATCCTGGTAAAAGAATGGTTCATTTATCAACTTTATGACTTATTCAAGAACTGTTGCAGGGTCCATTAGCGTGGGCTTTGATTGTTTGGCGTTGCAGCTTGGTTTTCAGTTCAGTTGACAAAATTGTCAGTGTTCTTATCCATCTTTTACCTGGTATGTTGGACCTTAATTTTTCAGTTTTCTCTTGTTCAACAATATAATAAAATTTTGGACAACTTTACTCTTCTGCTATGATCATTGTAGACTTTATCACTTATGCTTTCCATAGTCATTATTACAAAAAATTATATTGGGAGAATGTGTTGTTGTGCACAATAACAATTTATGACAGGAACTATCTGATAAAATGTATTTTACTTGCTTTGTGTTCAAATTCTATTATCTTCACGATTTTTCTATTCAAAGTTCAAAAGTTTATGGAATAGTATTGCACATTGTTGTTGGTTTAAATCAACTAGTTTTTCTGTGCCTAGATAGTTCCTCATGTAAAATGACAAAGTTTGAAGTAGCATTAGTATACAAGAGCTTCATGCTAGACATGGAAATAAGAAATTCAGTTGTAAAAACTTTTTCAAGGTTTTCCAGCAATATAATAGAAAAATGAGGTTTCCACGCCAGAAAATTTAATTTTAAAGGGGGTCATTTGTGTAGAGCTCAATTCATGTAAATTTTATAAGGAAAAATAATAAAAGGCTACAAATGCCAGAATATAGCGATGCTTATCAAGGAATTTGTATTTGTGCAAAAACAATATGAAGGATCTTTAATTGATATCATCTAGGATCATCTATAACAAATCAAAACAGATAAATATTTTGGATCTAATCTCTGATATTCTCAGGGTTATGTGTAACACTATATTATTTTATACTTCTGTTCATGCAACAGAATTGTAGTCCTGCTACCCCCTTGCTTAGGCTTTTCCATTTCTTATTGTTAATCTCTACTACAGCAGTAATTCACCTAAGTCCTATATCTTCTGTTTCTTGTATCTATTTCAAATGTCTTCATTTCTTGACCTATGCTTGTATTATTTAATATCTCTATTAGACTAAAAACATTTATGAGCCTTCATAAAATAATATCCACAGCACTGATTGTTCCAATATTCTTGAAAATGAGATTTAATATTTGTTTATTTGCAAGACAACTTGAACTTCTAATTAGATATCTTAATATTAGAGAAACTACACAATTGGATTGTGATAGACGTGTCAACTTTATTTTCATACTGCATCCATTTTGGTTTTTACTAAGCTTTAAATGCATTTTTTTTCCAGGATTGGTTTTCTTTACAATTCGATGGTGGAATCCTGCAACCTTTGAAGCCATGCGACCAGAGGGAACTGCTGGAAAAGCTACATGGCCTTATATTGAAGATAAATCCTATCTATGGATGTGGCTGTTTCTGGTTCCTTTAGCAGCTTACACTTTGTGGCAGGTTCTGTACTTCCTCATTGTCAACGTCTTGCGTCGACAACGATTTTTAAGAGATCCTGAAGTCATGACTTCCTACAGGTAACTAATGAGTTCCTATTCTCTTACACCCTTTTTTGCAGTTCATATTCTTCTCTCAGTTCAGCATAATATGTGTTGTTAGACCTTTTTTTGGAGGGGTGCTATTAGAGGTGGTAATAGATCATTCTTTGACATTTTCATTTTATTAACTCAACTGTTTCATAGGGAACTCTCTAAAAAAGCTCAGAAAGCAAACAATGTGTGGTGGCGCTTAAGTGGCATACTTGGGGATCAGAATCGCTTGTTAATGTACATTGTTCTTCAAGGCATATTTACTTTGGCAACCACAGCACTGACTGTTCCAATATTCTTGTCTTATGAGTTGTCTGTAGTTTTCCAAATACTGAAGATTTCTGCATCAGTGTGGAATGGGGGAAGCTTTCTAATAGATGTAATGCCCAGGCAGGTAATTCTCAAGGAGAAAAAGAAATCAGAGGTAAAGCCTGCTTAAATTCAAAAAGATAAGTGATAGATGGTGATGGAAAATGGTAGGTAGTTCAACAATTCAAGAGACATCTTGATTTCATGATATGAATTAATTATCCATGTAGTCATACCACACTAGTCTTGTTGTGTATTTTAAGATGACCCCATAGTGTTGCCAGTCCATGGTTCATAAAATGCAAATGAAGTGGAATACGCATGTTCCTTTTGTCCTTTCATATCCATTTGCATTTATTCAATGGACACTTTGTGAAACCAAGTCTTGAAAAGTATGATATCTAATTTCAGTGAGCTTGAGCATTGAGACTAGGAGTAATGAATTTTAGCACTATTCTTATGACTTGTAATGTCCCTACCACATATTTGTGTCTGTCACTTACAGAAGTTGCTTAAAAATGTGCAAATGAAATTATCAGATCCATCATCAAGGCGGCATCAACGTGGGAGAGGTCAAAAAGTTATTTTTGAGAGTAAATTTAAGTAGCAAATTTCATAACTTATGGCAAGAAAATTGTATTCTTCCTAATTGTTAATCCTCCTTAGCTTAACACATGGTGTATTTGAATATATAGTTAAAACTTGAATAAATAAATATATGAATTAATGAATGAATGGAACTCAAATAAATGATATGTCATCTGTATTGCACCGAGTCACTTTTCATTATAACTCGGCCATACAAAATAAAGAAGGGAACATAAAAAGGGGAATATTAAACCAATTAAATACAAATTGCACCAACAAATAATAAATAATGCCTTGTATAATGCATCAAAAGTTATTAACTAATTAAGCTCACCTATAACACTTGTAAAACACTACGAGTTTCCTTAACCAGTGATCAACACTAGCCTTCGCCTACGATACCATGTGAAATCAACTATGAGATGCCTATTTGACAAAAGCCCCTGCTGTTACAAACTAATACTACAAGTCTGGGTTGGTGAAATATGCTACACACAAGACAAAACTCAGACTACATGCCTATAAAGAAAAAGCCCGGTTCTCTTTGTCTTCGAGCTTTTAATGTCATCCACTAAAAAGAGAATGAAGCACCCATGTTGAAAGTGTTGAGAACAAAAGTTGCAGCTAAATGACTGAGACATCCTGTGAAATTTTGAATTCTTTTTCTCTGAACTTTATACTTTACACCATATCCAGAACCATCATTTAATAGGATGGAACTGCTGTGCTGATTCCATTGTTCGAGTCCTTAGGCATCATCACTGTCATGTTTAGATGTTCTTAAAAGAATATGTGGAAGAAAAAGTGAAAGGAATTACTTCTTGTATTGATATGTACGCATATGCATACATACAATTTTTATTTATAGAAGAGCTTAGACTCTTAACAAAACAATCAATCCTAACAAAAGTCAAATAACAGAAATATCAAATAATAGAACAACAAATTACTAACTACTCTATTCCTATATTTTCTTTTTTAACTTTCTCCAATACCCCCGCAAGCTGGAGAGTATATATTCAGAACTCCCAGCTTGGAAAGAAGATAGTTAAAAGAAGTAGGTTCAAGGGGTTTCGTAGAGCGAATGGGTAGTAAATGAAACAATTTTGCTTGAAGCTTTTCCCGAACTATGTGACAGTCAAGCTCGATGTGTTTGGTGCGCTCATGGAAAATAGGGTTAGTAGCAATATGTCTGTTAGATTGATTGTCACAATACAAGAGAGCAGGGGAAGTGAAAGAAATTACAAATTCATGGAGAAGATAAGTAAGTAATTGAATCTCACAAACTGTGTTGGCTAAAGCACGGTATTCAGCTTCGGATGAAGACCTAGAGATGGTGGACTGCTTCTTGCATTTTCATGAAATTAGTGAATCTCCAAGAAAAATGCAGTAACAGAAACAGAACGGCGAGAAGTTGGGCAAGAACCCCAATCTGAGTCATTAAAAGCTTTCAGTTGTAATGAAGACTGCACATGGTAGAAGAGACCTTGACCAGGATTTCCTTTGAGATAGCGAAGAACACGTGTAATTGCCATGTAATGAGAAGTGGAAGGAGAAGAAATTTGTTGACTTAATTGTTGCACAGCAAATGAAATATCTGGTCTAGTTGTTATGAGATATAAAAGCTTGCCAACAAGCCTTCTGTAACCAGCAGGATCAGCATAAGGAGTACCATCTGATTGTGAAAGTTTGTTGGTTTTCACCATAGGAGCTGGAGTGGGCTTAACTGCAAGAAAACCAACATCAGAAAGTAAATCTAATGCATACTTTCATTGAGAAAGATGAATGCCAAGGTGTGACCGGGCCACTTCTAAACCAAGAAAGTACTTGAGGTGACCAAGGTCTTTGATCTTAAATTGAGCATCTAAAATGCCCTTTATGGAGACAATTTCAGATGTAGATGAATCAGTACCACCAATGATTAAATCATCAACATAAATAAGAATCACAGTAAAATGATTATTAATATGCTTAGTAAAGAGAGAGTAATCATTAGGAGACTGTTTGTAATTCATGGTTTGAAGAAAATTAGATAATTTGGCAAACCATTGCCTGCTAGCTTGCTTTAAACCATACAAGGATTTGTGTAATTTGCATACAAGATTAGGCTTGGGACAAGATAAGCCTTGTGGGATTTGCATATATACTTCTTCATTAAATTCTCATGAAGGAAGACATTATTTATATCAAGTTGATGAAGTTCCCAATTTTGGCAAGAAGCGATAGCAAGGAGTATTCTCACAATAGTTATCTTGGCAACGGGAACAAAAGTGTCAAAATAATCTAATCTTTCAATTTGGTTGTATCCCTTTGCCACCAAATGAGCTTTATATCTTTCAATAGCCATCATATTTATATTTTGTTTTATAGACCCATTTAGAGCCAATAGGAACCTTACCAGCAGGTAAATTAACCAATGACCAAGTCCCATTTTGATGCAAAACATCAAGTTCATTTTGCATAGCCTTAATCCAATGTTTAGATTTAATGGCTTCTGAATAGTTCTTGGGTTCAATTAGGGAGGAGACAGTAAGAGAAAAATGTGAATGTTTAGGAGAAAGATTACTATAAGAGAGAACATTGTGAAAAGGATACCTGACATCTTTAGAGATAGAACTGTCATGACCAGTTAACAAATTACAATGATAGTTTGTGAGATAAGCAGGTGGATATCTGGTTCGAGTTGATCTTCTGATAGTTGTAGGAGCAGCATCAGGTGAGCTGCACTCTGATGAAACTTGAGACTCATCATGATGGTTTATGTGGTTATTATTATCATTAGTAATAGCATCAATGTTGGTATTATGTGTGGAAACATGATTGTCAGCAAATAAGAAATCAAAGCTGTTATTGTTAGTCATATCATGATCAAGATTAGAATCATAAACTTTGTTATGAAAAGGGAAAACATCTTCATAAAACAAAACATTCCTGGATATAGAAATGTTTCTAGTACATATATCCATCACAAGATAACTTTTAGTACCATGCTTGATGCCTAGAAAAATACTTTTAGAGGCTCTACGATCAAGTTTATTTCTGTTTTGGAATAATGTACCAGCAAAACAAAGACAACCAAATACCTTTAGATTCAATAAGGTAGGTAATTGATCATAGAGCATTTGAAAGGGAGAACAATTGTTTAAAACAGGAGAGGGTAACCTGTTAATAAGATACACAACATAGCTAACAACATAGTTCCAAAAAACTTTAGGTAAATTAGAGTGAAAAAGTAGAGATCTAGTAACATTTAATATGTGCCTATGTTTTCTTTCCACAACAAAATTTTGTTGTGGAGTTTCTATGCTAGAAGTTTGATGTAAGATCCCATGTTGAGCATAAAAATCATGCATGAGAAAATTGTGTTTTAGTTAAAGCAACAAAATCATGAATAATTTTTCTGGTTTCAGCTTTGGATTTCATAAGAAAAGTCCAAGTATGTCTAGAGAAATCATCCACAACAGTAAGGAAAAATCTATGTCCATGAACAGAAGTAACACCAATAGGTCCCCAAATATCTATGTGAACTAGTTCAAAACAAGAAGATGATTTAGAATTACTAGTAGGAAAAGACAGTCTAGATTGTTTAGCAAGGTGACAGTAATCACAAACAATATTGTCATTGAACTCAACATAAGGAGAATGTTCCTTCACAATTTTTAGAACTTGGTAAGATGGATGACCAAGTCTAAAATGCCACAAATCAAAGGGATTCTTATTTTGAGTCTTAGAAACAAAAGTTGAATTACAAACAGAATTGGAATAGGATACACAAGATAACTCAAAGAGCTGCACACATGTTCAGTTGCCCCAATGTCCAGAATCCAAACACTGGGTAGGAGAGGATTACTTGTGTTGTGTTGCTGTTGATGAGTAAACTGAAGAATTGTTTCATCATTATCTTTATGAGTCAGTTGGTTAATAGTAGGCTCGTGAGGTTGTAGATTGACTCTCTTGATCATATTAAGAAGTACATTAAACTGCTCTTGGATCATATTAACAGGTGGATCTTTGTAATCATTATTAGAACTCACATTTTGCATTTCAGGTGTCTTGCTTGTACCGAAATATTAACAACAGATTGCATGTTTTTATTCTTGAACTTAAAATTTGGTGGAAAACCATGCTTAAAATAGCAAGTGTCTATAGTGTGATTTTATTTACCATAAAAGGTGCAAACCTTGTTGGAATTGGATGTGTTGCCTTGACCAAAGGATTTACCTCTACTTCTGCTAGCAAATCCTCCACCTCTTCCAGCAAAATTTTCTTTCCAGTTGTTAGCAGTATCATTGGTGGTTGCAAGAACTATTGATTTTTGGATGATTGGATTGGTTAATTGCGTTTCTTGTTGGAGAGCATGAGAAAAGGCCTTACTTATAGAAGGAAGGGGTTCCATCATTAAAATATGACTCCTTACTGTGTTGTACTGGTCATTAAGACCTTTGAGAAAGAAAATAACATATCCAACTTCTTTATTCCTTTTTGCAGTGTTGGCAAATTTGCAAATGCATTTAACATTGCATGTGCAAGAAGGTGTTTCTCTAAGAGCTTTCAATTCCTCCCATAGAGTCTTTAATTTAGTGTGGTATGCAGACACAGATCTATCACCTTGCTTAATGGAATGGATTTCTTGAAGAAGGTCAGAGATTCTAAATAGTTACCCTTTCTTGAGATCTTCTCATAAATCTTGCGCATTCTCAAAATAGATTATGCTTTGAGCTATTTCTTGTGACAAGGTTCTTGTAATCCACCCAAAAGCAGTGGTATTACATCTGACACAAGAATCATAAAGATGATGTGAAGGTCCTGGGTTCTTGATACTTCCATCTACAAACTTGAATTTATTCTTTGATTGAAGAGCCCTCTTCATGTCTCTG